GGACAATGGACATCTCTGAGTCTCACTTCCCCAGAATCTTCAACACAACAACACATCCCAAGCTAAACTTACTGTCACTTTGCTCCCTCATTTCACCATCTCCATCCTCAAACTGCAATTGCTTTATCAGCAATCTTAGATCTCAGCTACATCATGTTCTGGTCAGTTTTGTGTCTTAAAAAGAGGAGTCATCTCTTTCATTCTCCATATCTAATTGATTTCCAAGTCTTCTTAAATATTTCTCAAAGCAGTCCTCACCTCCTCCAATGTATTTGCCTTACTACAGTCCTTCAATATCTCTGATATTGGGAAGATTCTTAATTGGGGGATGCTACCATTGCAACAGCCTCCTAAGTGGTCAAAACTCTCTCTCACTTTTATTTCCCTTTATTTTCGCCCATTCTCCAAAGGTTTCTTCAGAGCATGGAAATATGAGGACATCACACCTTTGCTTTCATAGTTTAACTCCTATTAGATATTCATTTAACATGATATCCAGGCTTTTCATTATATAAACTCCACTTGACTTTCTAGTCTGATGCCCCTCCATTCCACCCACTCTGCTTTAGTCTAATGAAAATTAGAAGAGATCCCCGAGAGTTTGAACTTGCCTGTGATTTTATGAAGTTTTATGTGTTCTTCCTTTTGGCTGGAATGTCCTTTCCCATCTTGTCTTCCCAGTGAAATCTTACACATTTTTCCGGATTCTATTAACACTTCCCTTTTGGAATGGTCCCTGATCCCACAGTAAGTCGTCCTCATCTCTGGGCTCCCTCTGTGCTGTGTACAAATCTTTATCACAGCATCTCTTGCAGTGTCTGGGAAGGATCTCACTCTTTGAGCAACCTGAGGGAAAATACTGTATCCTACTCATCTTGATATCTGCAGTGCCTGTCGCAGTCCCTGGCACATGGCAGATTCCCAGTGAACATGTGCTGAATGAATTATATGGTAGGAAGAAATCAAGATTCTGAATTAGGTCATCTGGATCTGTGCTTCTCATAATTATTTGTGTGATTTTGATGACATTTCTTTGGGTTTCAGATTTTTTCATCTGTGAAATGAGGAATTAGAGGTAGCTTTTCTGGTAGGCTTTCTCCAGCTTTAATACTCTATGGCTGAAACTATCGCCTATTACAAAGGCTGATATATGTATATTATTTGATCACAGAATGTTTTATAAAAACTCATGAATACTGAAAAAAAGATTTTTCACATAAAAATTAGAATTTACACTGTATCTTGACAAAACAGATAACTTGATCACATTGGGCCAATTATCCCTAAAAGTCCACAATCGGCTCTAGCTGAATCATGCTGCCCCTTTCGATGGGGTGTGTGCCTTCTGTTTGGCCAGCCTGCCCATCTCTCTCTTGCCCCCTCTTCACAGACGCAGAGTATAAGTTGTTGCTTATTACCACACTTATACCACAGTTTTCCTCTGGAAAAAATGAGAAACAGAAAAATTTTCTTGTTCCCATTTTTCTCTTAAAAGTAGAAAAATGAAAAATAAACGGAGAGCCTCTTATGTTTCTTATCGTTGGTTGACCTCACTCACTTATGCACATATGTATGTATAATTCCAAACAAACTAGAATTTGCTCATGTGGTACCAATTCAAAATATTCTGGTTTTAGTTTTTTTTTCCACCTTAGTCCATCTGGACTTTTGATGTCCTGATGATCCTTTCAGAAAATATTATTGCCTTAATACAGACAAAGGCCTAATCAATTAATTTGGTATTTCTCTCACCTGAAGCAACTGATGCTTTTTATCTAACAATTACTTTATGTTTGAATATTTATCATGAGAACATTCTCTGCTCTTTTCAAATCCTGTTGAAACTACTTCCTGCCATTCAAGGATGCTTCATATGACTTGAGTGTGCTACGAAAACTTGGTTACTAAGTGGGCACACGGAAATGACTCCACTCATTGTTCCTGCTAGAACTGCGCATTTGCGTTCACATTTTTTAATGGACTTGCGAATATGTTCTACTGAGGTTAAGGGGTAGGAAACAAGACAGGCGTGAGTTGATGGGGCGGGCTGAAGACACGAGTCTAGGGAGGCCGGCATCACCTGATAAAGAAAACAGCTGCTCTCCATTCCCTCCTCTTGTTTTTTACACGCAGGATAAGGCGTTCACCATCTACACGTCAGGCCTCCCTTGCAGTTTTGCTGGAACCCCTATTCCTTAGCTTAGAACCAGAGGGGGCGGGGAAGGGCTGCTGTCACTCAACCCCGCTGGCCAATAAGAGGAGGGATATCCCCGCCTCCTTCCCAGGGAGGGATTGAGAGCATGCGCAGTGGGCGTTCCAGCGCCTCCACCCATCAGCTGAGGCTCGTTGCTGGCGGCTCTGGGGCCCTTGGGTGGCCGGTGCCAAAGAAGGAGAAGGAAGCCGAGGACGTCGGGGTAAGAGGAGTCTCTGGAGGGGGTGTCCCTGGCTGGGCGCCCCGAAAGCGCGTGTCCCCGTGGCTGCCGCGCCACCTTGTTTGTGCGCGTTGTCAGGTGGCCGCCGCCCTGCGCTTCGCGGCAGGCTTTCGGGAGTCGGAGGGCCGGCGCTGCCCCAGCGCCGGGAGCGCGCTTCTCCCCACGCCCCCCGGGCCGGCGCGGGTGCGCGGTGCAGTCCGGCTGGTGCCGCCGGCCTAGGCAGCCCGGCCCGCCCTGCGCCGGCTGCGCCGCAGCCTCGCCGCCTCCCCCGGCCGCCCCGGCCGCTCTCGCTCAGGCGCACCGGCGGGCTGAGCGCTCCGGGGCGGGGCTGGAGCCCGAGCCGCTCCGGCCCAGCTCAGGAGAACAGCTTCTGCCTCACGCTGGACACGAATTGACCTCTTCCTCTTTTTAAGGCTCGGATTTAGAAAACGCGCTTTAAAGTTCTCCTCCCGAATATAGAAGAACTGAAGATATATATTTCTATAGTAGAGGAACCGTATACGTTTATTCGGAGGCTCATCGTAGTTGGTTTTCTATTTGGCCTGGAGACTTTGACACACTACCTTTCTTTGATCTTTTCAGTACCTGTCCTTAGTTGGTTTGCATTAAGCCCTTTACAGCTACATAAAATATTCCAAGATGCCTCTCCACCCCACCTCAGCCCACCCCTCTTGTTTTTTAGGTTGTTACTTTCTTTAAATTCAGACAAAAAGAAAACAAAAATGTCTTTCCCGTCAAATGCTATATATTTTTTTACTCTCAAGTTTCTTACATTTGCTTGGTTCTTATAGACATACATTAATTTTTGTTTAATTCAGATCAGCATATTCTGACCATAATTATATATAATTTAAAGCTTGCTTGGGATCTGGAAGAAAAGGAAATGATTATGAAATGCTGTGCTGTTTAGTAATATTGGAGGTGGACGTTTCTTCGGGGGTTGGCCTGATCATCCCCCCTGGTCAGAGACTGATAGCAGTGTTCAGCTGTGTCTTGTGATGTGGACACGCCTCTGCTTTGCAGGCCACTTTGAGAAGGTTGTCTCAGACTTGTGACTAGTTAAGAATTATGCTCTAGTTTCAGAGTTAATATGATACCATGTGAACTCATTAACATCTACATTTTTCTTCAGATATTTTACTTTTGCTCCCGATCTCAAAGTCAATCTTAATTTTGGTTATGATCGCAGACTTTAGCCAGGTGCTGCTGGGTGAGAAATTGTATAAAACACCTGCAGTAAGTCTGAATAAGATTTGCCATAATTCTATTTAATTTGAAAGTTTAGTGTGTGTGAAAGAGTGAAAAATAATTCTCGGTATTGTGGACTAAACCCAAATAGTATAATAGTTTAATGGATGGAGGAGCTGAGCTAATGAATGCAGTTAATGTAGTTTATGTAGAGAATGCTCATGTCTGTTAGGAGAGTGATCACCCTCACATTCGTGGAACATCTTCTATGTCCCTGGCACTGTGGATTCTACAAGAAGATAGCCTTAGACTAATCTCCAAAGTATATAAACAGCTTATGAAGCTCAATATTAAAAAAAAAACCCAATCAAAAAATGGGCAGAAGACCTAAATAGACATTTCTCCAAAGAAGATATACAGATGGCCATGCGGCACATGAAAAGCTGCTCAACATCAGTAATCATTAGAGAAATGTAAATCAAAACTACAATGAGGTATCACCTCACACTGGTTAGAATGGGCATCGTGAGAAAATCTACAAACAACAAATGCTGGAGAGGGTGTGGAGAAAAGGGAACCCTCTTGCACTGTTGGTGGGAATGTAAATTGATACAGCCACTATGGAGAACAGTATGGAGGTTCCTTAAAAAACTAAAAATAGAACTACCATATGATCCAGCAATCCCACTACTGGGCATATATCCAGAGAAAACCATAATTCAAAAGACACAGGCACCCCAGTGTTCACTGCAGCACTATTTACAATAACCAGGTCACGGAAGCAACTTAAATGCCCATCAACAGATGAATGGATAAAGAAGATGTGGTACATATATACAGTGGAATATTACTCAGCCATAAAAAAGAATGAAATTGGGTCATTTGTAGAGACATGGATGGACCTAGAGACTGTCATACAGAGTGAAGTAAGTCAGAAAGAGAAAAACAAATATCATATATTAACACATATATGTGGAATCTAGAAAAATGGTACAGATTAACTGGTTTGCAGTGCAGAAATAGAGACACAGATTTAGAGAACAAATGTATGGACACCAAGGGGGAAAGCAGGGGTGGTGATGGTGGTGGTGAGATGAATTGGGAGATTGGGATTGACATATATACACTAATATGTATAAAATAGATTACTAATAAGAACCTGCTGTATAAAAAAAAAAGATAAAATTCAAAAAAAAAAAAAGAAGATAGCCTTGTCTCTCTCATGTTTATGTTCCAGAGGTAGGGATAGATAATAAATGATATACGAACTAGATCATTTTAAATGGTGATTAGTACTATGATGCAGTAGGTTAGATCAGCAGAGTGACAGAGTGGTGACTTCTCACTTCAAATCAAAGTGAATATGAAATGCTTCTCTAGCACGTGATGAGACTTTGCTGGGGAAGCGGAGCAGGTCACATGGAGATCATGGGAAGCCCTGCAGGGAAAGGAAATGGCACCAAGCAGTGGTCCAAGGCAGCGATAAGCCTGGGACATCCTGGATCTGAAAGAAGGCCCTGGAGTTCACTGTCTTAGAAATGGTAATATTTACCCTCAGACTGGGTGTGTGTTCTTAGGAAATAGGTACATTTATTCATTCTACAAATATTTATTAAGCACCTATTGTATATCCAGGTGCTGAGAGTAGAGCAGTCCACAAAATAGACCAAAAAAAGAAAAATCAAAACTGAAAACAAAAAACCTGCCCTTCTGGGAACTTACCATTTTGGAGCACAGGGTGGAGGGAAGTCCTGAGCTTTATGCTGGTGCTCACCATTAAGAAAGAGAAACTGACTGTTTCTGTTGCTTTATCCACACAGGATTTATAGAGCATGATATTTATGTTGATGGGAATCTTAAGGATTCTACACTGTGTCCAGTAGCAACTAGGGGTAATGTTTGACACTCAAGATTTCTTTTTAAAATTCCCTTTGTTCTTTTATCTGTGCTCTGTAGAAACAGTCTTGAGAAGATTCTCAGTATGAGTATTGCACCTTGATCCCCTCTTCCCGTCTTTCTCTTTATAGTGTTTATATATCCTCATAGCAAGCTAATTATTGAGATTTTTGGTGAGCACTGTTCAATAGAACTTTCTGCTGTGATGGAAATGTTCCATACGTGAGCTATCGTAGCCGGTGGCCACACATGTGATAGCTGAACACTTGATAGTGCAGGTATAGATAATGAGTTACTGTTATTCTGAGCAATAAAACTAGGAATTCTGAATGGGCTTTGGAAAGTATACAGCAAAAGTACTTCAGTGCATCTTAGCTCTGGGCTAGGTGCTGGAGGAGACTGATGTGGAAAGCAGACATCAGAATAACTTGGTTGATGTAGCCTGTGTGCAAAAATCGTACACTGTTAAGTCAGTTTATAGTTAGCTGTCTATCTGTTTATATACATATATTTTAAAGTACAGTCAGTTATTTGGATCCTTTATTTCTCATATCTCATCATCAGGAGAGCCAACCACTGTTGTCTTTTAGATATCACTGTTAGCAGAATAAGAGAGAAGAGGTGTAAGCTATTCGGCAGTGTTACCTTGATCCATGCGTGTAGTCATCCCAAGCTGAATTCCTCACCTTCCTTGTGGGTTTAGCAAAACTTCATACAGAGTCTGCAGAAAGGTGATAAATTTGGTTTTTCTAAATTGAGTGGGCTCACCTGTCCTTAATTTTGTTATACAGGGAAGCAACAAGATGGTTTTGTGTTTTCAAAACATAGACTCTAAGATTTAGTTTCAAATTTTAGCTCTTTTCTTACATTAAACATGTTGCTTATTCTCATTATGCTTCAGTTTCTTCATTTGAAAAATCATAATTATTGTTGTACCTACCTCATAAGCTTGGTGGAAGAATCAACTAAGAAAATGTGAAAGTCCTAAACACAATGCTTAGGAAATAATAAGTTAGCTATAGTTAATCTTGTTGAATTTTTCTTTCTCTTCCATCATTCACAGTTTCTTTTCATTCTTCACTCAGCACTGAGCTGAGGGAATCGCCATTGCACCCCTTCTCTAAGGAAATGCCAGCCAGTCCAACAGTGGCAGCTCTTTGGATGAATGAAGCTTAGTTATCTCACCAGCAGGAACTTTCTCAAATTTAGGCGCTTGAGTAAAGGGAAAACTGGTAGTTTGTAGCTGATTGGTTGATTCTCTAAAGGGGGGGAAAGGAGACCATAAAAGAAAACAGGAGAAGGCTTAGACCAGACTTGTTTGAGTTTTGAGGGTTGAGGGAAATGCTACAATACTAAGTGGCAATCAACAGGACTGATTATAGTCCCTCTTTGGGGGAGAGAGCAGGCCTCAGCTAATCGTGTGGTTGTGTGGTCCTGATGCAAGGGATCTGATCTGTTGATGCTAGTCCTGTAGATGCAAGAGTGAATCTTTACCTTTCTTCTGTATAGAGTGGGAAAGTTCTTGGTCCCTGGATGTGCAGTATCTTATTTGGATCCTGGCAGCAGGCCCAAATGCTAAGTGTCTTCCCCAAAGTAGAGATTTCCTGTTGCCAGTTCCACTGGCAGCTAAAAGGGCAGTTGGCGAGTTCCTATAGCTTCAAAGGCATATAGACACTAAAGAGAGTTAAGAGTGTGACTCGGAGATGTGGATGTGAGATTCATTTGTGTGTAGGTGTATTTGTGCATGTAGATGGAAGAGCACCCCTAAGAGAGTACATAAATAAGAAAGAGGAACACTTCCTCATAACAGTGTGTTTTTGTGAGCTAGATTTCAACCCTAGTAGGATCGTGAAATTTGTACTTGTAACCTCCCAGATCGACAATTTGGAAAGTGTAAGCCAGTAACTTTAAAAATGCAGTTATGTGACTTTTCTTTTATGTTATTTAGGTGACTGCTTAGAAAACTGCACAGCCCACAAACAGCTGATGAAATTAGCGAACAAGCAAATCAACTATGTCTTACACTCCAGGAATTGGTGGTGACCCTGCCCAGCTGGCCCAGCTTATCTCTTCCAACATCCAGAAGATCACACAATGTTGTGAGTTGAGTTTTTAAATTGACTTCATTGTTTGTTTTCAATTCTTCATTGAAACTTGGTGGAGATTCAAAAAAGGACAATTAGTGTTCCTCCAAGAGCAGATTTTAAAAGGCTAGACCTCTTTAGAGTAAAGATAAGGAGTAGTTATATTAGAAGAGGTAACACTTAACTGCATTTTTCTGTAGAGTGTCAGGCACCTGATAAACATTCATTAATGAAAGAAAGATTTAAAAGGATAGATACTTAGGTTTGCATTAAAACTGTCAGGTTCTAGATGAGATGAATGAGATTTGAGGAAATTTCATAGGTTTGGCACTGGGAAGCACTGTCAAGCACTATCAGTACTCCTCAGAATATATATAAGAAATTAAAAAAAAAAATCCCTGTAGCAGATTTGAACCTATAGAGTTTTTTAGTTTTTCTTTCTGAATCACAGCTAATCATATACCTAGATTATTCCGGTCATTTTGCGGTCAGTATTTTGGCCCTCTGGGCATGCCTGAACTCTTTCAGAGTGTGTTAATATGTATAGTTTTATTCTTCAGCTTACTTCATTAAGGCTGCTCTCTTTACCAGAATGCTAAACACACTGTGGAACATCTGAAATGTTTTCAGATGACCAACTGTGTTTCTTTAATCATTAACTTCCCAACAATTATTACTCTGCCTGAATGACTGAAATGAGATATCAGTTGTTTTGGAGGCAGAGGGAGTAAAACTAGATTATAGATAGTTCTAAGAAAGTGCTGACCTGCACAGCAGTGTAGGATAACCCGTATCCTGATTTGGGGCAGCTCCTGTTTTCTTTGGCTGTCCTTGGAGGAGCAAGGAGGGGGATAGCGTAGAGGTATCACTTTGTCCGCAGTAGGGTCTATAGGATTGGTACGTCAAGGATTGTTCCAGTTTGTCCTGGGGCACCAGCGTTGGCTGGCTCCACCTTGCTCTTCCTGCTTCAAATTGTTTCCATGGTAGCCAAAAGGGCCTCTCCTTTTTGTGGCTCCCTTGCTGCTGATTAGAAATAGTGCTAGTCTGCCTCAGGCTACTTGTGTGAAAATTATAATTTTAATTTGCACATGTGGCAAATCAGGACCTTTATCCAAGAAAGGAGGCCAGGAGGTCTTTTTCTGTAGGATAGGGCAGGTATCCTGTGTTGGGGAAGCTAAACGGTGTCGGGAATTCTGGGAAGAAGATGAGGAATGACTGTAGTGCATGGAGATTACAGAAGCCTTGTGCCCTTAGTGGTGTGAAAGATACATGGAGATGTATCTTGGAGATGGTGTGTGAGCTTGAACTGGAAGGAAGGAAGCGTTAACTTCAGTCAGGTTACACTCTCTCAGAAAGAGATCAGTTCATGAGACCAGCCAGATGATGTGAGGTAGATTGGACCACAGTTGCATATTCATGGCATAGTTGATAGCTAAGTGTGTGACTACATCGTGGTTTGGGGCAGTCTTGGAGTACATGGGAGGGTGATAAGACCTGAAACTCTTGTTTTTAACAGCCTTGTGAAGAGCTGTTAAGGAGACTGGGACTGTTAACTCTGAGAAGGTACAATCACCACCTTCAGATATTTGAAGAACTGTCTTGTCTAAAACACGAGAAATGTACTCTACTTGATCACAGAGGCCTCTGTGATGAATGGAAGCAACAGCTTGAGAAAGGAATAAGGGGTTTTGAATAATCCTAGTTGTTGAGGGATAGAATTGTCTACCTCAGGAGCAGTGCAGTCCCTGTTACTAAGTGAACAGCATATGGCGGTGAGATATTTCTCAGGTCTGTAATTAAGACACTGGAATAATGGTTAAACAAATGACTTTTCATTTTTATGTTAAGTCTTTATTCATTCAGCAAATAATTTATAGAGCACCAACTGTTTGCTAGTCCCTGTTTCAGACCCTGGGAATCGAGCAGTAAACAAGATCCACAAGGTCCTGTTCTCCTGTAGTTTCCAGTGTGAGGAGAAACTGATGGTTTAAACATTTAATGAACAACATAATTCCCTATGAAGAAAAAAAAATGAGAGTGATGTGATGAGAGCAAGTGATGAGGGAGAAGCTGCCTTATCTTAGGTGGTTCTCTGAATGTGGAAGAGAAGGGGCTGGTAGTGAGAAAATACTGGGAAAGAGCATTTAGATGGAGGCCACAACTGGTATTTTTAAAAAGCAGTCCAGAGCTTAGGGTGTTCAGAAAATAGGAAAAATCCAGTGTGGCCGAAGCACAGCACTTGAGGCAAGAGTGGCAGGAGATGAAATCAGAGAGGAGGCCAATCAGGTCACCTAAAACCTTGGAGGCCATGTGGAGCTTAAATTTCGTTCTAAGAGGCAGGGAAGAGACACAATCAGATCTGCACTTTGAAAAGATTACTTTGGCTGCTGCTTAGAAAACAGACTTTGAAGAAATAGAAGGAGAACACACAGGCCATGGCAGGGCTCTGATGAGAGAGATGTTGGCTTGCACCAGGGTGGTAGCAAGGGAGATGGAGAGAAGTGATGGATGTACTGTGGAGGCACAGACAGCAGGACTTGCTGATGCACGGGGGTGGGGTGAGAGGGAGAGGGGAGACCAGGATGACTTCATGGTTTTTGCTTTGAGCAACCAAGTGGATGGTGGTGAGTATGTCCTAAGATGGGAAGAACTATAGTTGAGGAGATGTGGGGAGGGTTTTGTTTTGGACAAGTAAATTTTGAGGTGTCTTTTAAACATCTAAGTGGAGGTGTCGAACATCTAGTTTAGGTGTATGAATTTGGAAATCAGAGTGTCATCAGAATATAAATGGTATTTAAAACCATAGGTCTAAAATAATCACAAAGGAGTGAGTAGAGTTCAGAGAAGAGTGTTGGAGCATTTAAAAAAATGTAGAAGTCAGGAAAGCAGGGGAAGACACCATAGTCAGGGAAGGAGTGACCAGTGAGGTAAGAAGAAAATCAGGCTCTGCTGGGTTTCCAGAAATTCAAAGAGTGTTTCAAGAATGAGTGAGGCATCATGTGTCTAATGCTGCCAACAGACTGAATGAGATGAAAGCAGAGAATGGGATCTGGCAAACTGGTGTCTTTGAAAGAATAAATCCCTGGATATATGCCAGGGATGCAAAGCTGGTTCAACGACCACAAATCAGGCCATGTGATATACATACACCACATTAACAAAATGAAGGATAAAAATCATATGATCATTTCAGTAGATACAGAAAAAACATTTGACAAGATTTAACATTCATTTATGATAAAAATTCTCAACCAAATGGGTATAGAGGGAACATACTTCAACATAATAACAGCCATATGTGACGGGCCAGCAGCTAATATCATATTCAGTGGTGAAAAGCTAAAAGCTTTTCCTCTAAGATCAGGAATAAGATAAGGATGCCCATTATTGCCACTTTCATTCAGAAATATTGGAAGTCCTAGACAGAGCATTTAGGCAAGAAAAATAAATAAAAGGCATCCAAACTGGAAAGGAAGAAGTAAAACTGTCACTATTTGTAGAGGACATGATATTATATGGAAAACCCTGAAGACTCCATCAAAAAACTGGTAGAACTAATAAACAAATTTAGTAATGTTGCAGGTTACAAAATCAGTACTCAAAATCTGTTGTGTTTCTCTACACTAATAACAAACTATCAGAAAGAGAAATTAAGAAAATCCCATTTATAATTGTATCAGAAAGGAATAAATTTAACCAAGGTTGTATACTGAAAACTATCAGACATTAAGGAAAGAAATTGAAGAAGACACAAATAAATGAAAAGATATTCCATGCTCATGGATCAGAAGAATTAATATTATGTCCATACTACCCACAGCAATTTATAAATTCAGTGCAATCCCTATCAAAATTACAATGGTATTTTTCACAGAATAAACAGTCTTAAAATTTGTATGGAACTGCAAAAGACCCTGAATAGCCAAAGCAATCTTGAAGAAAAAGAACAAAGCTGGAGTCATCACCCTCTCTGATTTTAAACTGTATTACAAAGCTATAGCAATTAAAACAGTGTGCTATTGGCATTAAAGACAGACACATAGATCAATGAAACAGAATAGAGAGCCCCGAAATAAACCCATGTATATATCATCAGTTAATTTACAGCAAAGCCAAGAATATACAATAGAAAAAGGATAGTCTCTTCAATAAATCATGTTGGGAAAACTGGACAGCCACATGGAAAAGAATGAAACGGGACCACTGTCTTACACTATACACAAAATTAACTCAAAATGGATTAGACTTGAACATAAGACCTGAAACCATACAACTCCTAGAAGAAAACATAGGTGGTAAGCTCCTTGACATAGATCTTGGCAATAATGTTTTGAATCTGATAACAAAAGTGAAGGCAACAAAAGCAAAAATAAACAAGTAGGACTACATCAAACTAAAAAGTTTCTGCACAACAAAGAAAACCAAAAAGATAAGAAATAACAGGTTCAGTGAGGATGTGGAGAAAAGGGAACCCTTGTGCACTGTCGTTGGGAATGTAAATTGGTTCAGCCACTATGGAAAACAGTGTTGGAGATTCCTCAAAAAATTAAAAGTAGAATTACCATACAATCCAGCAGTACTCTTCCTGGGTTTTTATCCAAAGAAAACAAAAATACTAGATTGAAAACGTATCTGCACTCCCATGTTCATTACAGCATTATTTACAATAGCCAAGATATGGAAGCTACCTAAGAGTCCATGGATAGACGAATGGATAAAGAAGATGTGGTGGGTGGGTGGGTGGATGGATGGATGGATGGATAGATAGATAGATAGATAGATAGATATACACAATGGAATATTATTCAACCATTAAAAGAAAAAGAATGAAATCTTGCCATTTGCGATAACATGATTAGACCTCAAGGGCATTGTGTTACGTGAAGTAAGTCAGAGAAAGGCAAATAACATATAATCTTTCTTATACGTGGAATCTAAAAAAAACCCCAAACCAGAAAAACTAAGTTCATAGGTATGGAGAACAGATTGGTGGTTGTCAGGGGTAGGGGGTGGGA